GTTCAGAAACTTCTTTTATCTGGAAATTATTGAAACTACGAATTTAGGGAGGCGTTTGATTGACATATCCTTGCACTTTCACAAAGAAAAGTTTATCCTTAATACTTAAGAAAAGTAGAAATTTTGTTGTGTATTCATGAAAAATATTAAAACTATAATCCAGAAAATTCAGAGTAGAAATGTGAGAAAGCAAAACCAACTCACCAGTATTGTCAGTCCGTGCTCAGTGATGTGTGCAGAGTTTCACAAATTGAACACACCCGGTGAAACGTAAACATTAACAATAACAGCGTTCGTGCCCTGTTTACAAAAACAGACGTTTGACGTGAGGTAAAAAAGAATGTCCTTGGATTTTTTGAATAAGCATCGAAATTTAAAATGTAAACAATGCAATTGTGTCCAGGCCCTTTTAAAGTTAACTTTACATGGTGTTGCATTTAAATTATGAGAAGCTCCAGAGTAAGAGGAGACTAATTCAGTTAAGTTTAATACCCCGGTACTCTGAGCACCTACTACATGTACAATAATTATTGCTGGGTTTTTTGTCTTCTTCGTTTTTCCATTGTTTGTACTTCTACTTTTTTAACTTAGCTGCATAAGATCGCTAAGACTAAATTATACCATTGTAGTAAATGATTAGTCAAATAACTTTACGTACTTCTGATTTATGACATTTTTAAAGGAGATTCACTGTGGATATTATGATTCTGTTCTTATTCGGTCACTATATTGCAATACGGTGAATACCTGAAAATCGCGATTACTTAACGGAATTCTTTCGCGGTGGAGGTAGGAAACGTCATTAACCTGGGGACAACGTGCTGTTAAATACAATTGGAGATCGATCGATGACTGTATATTTTTATAGGACATATAAGTAAGAAGTCCTAGTGAAATATCTTGTTAAATGCTCGGTTCACTATGCTGATAAAATTTAGGAGATGCTAGTTCTCTTATGTTAATACATTTCTGTAGATATTTTCCACTAATCCGACTTTTCTAATAATAAATTCATCCATTTCTTTCTGATAAACGTTAATTTTGGAAGTCTAAACGTTCCAAATAAAACAACTTATTTTTTGAAGTGTAACTATTAACAATACACTGTACTTTCGGCATGCTCATTGCTCAAGTCATTCAATTGTCACTAGCATAAACTTGATAAACAATAAAAGTTTATGTTTAAAATGATAGATGAATTAATCTAGCGCTGTAGCCATCATAAAACACAGAAGTAGATATCTGAACCATTGGTTTAATTGTTACACTGTTGGTTGTGTTAGGGGAGGGGGTGGGTCTCAATTCAGAGTAGGCTTTACATCGGCAAGGGCATAACTCATTAAATGTCCTTTAAATTACTGTAATTTCAATTTTGAGGTGAAAAATAAGAGATCAGTAGAACCAGTGAGCACCTAGTTTAAATATTCCAGAATGGTAATGTTTTGTAGCAATCGTATCTTCTCGGGCCTTTCCGGCAAGCTTGGAAAACATATCCGAGGTTGTGTTTCCGAACTTCTGGAAAGATCCAGGAAGGTAGTTAAGAAATGTTTGAGATTTATCATAATTTTATGAACAACTGATCTCTACAGTCTTTGCATTATAAGACCTAAGTTACTGTTAAATTTTATGCATTTATGTACAGGCTAGACAACAAAACAAGAAACTTCAGATCATGTATGATAGATCGAAAATTTACAGTTTATCTATAGTATAGTACCGTCCGTGAAATCGAGCATGCGTATTCCAGTTAAAAAGACTAAAGCGAGAGCGCTAGTAATCATATCATGCCCTGAGAATGACCTGAAGAGTTGGAGCTTTCTTGACTTCATGAGCGGCAGTAATTTAGACAGAATGACCGCGAGGTAATCGCGATACTAAGTTTTATTTCTGTGTATGTTTCTTCAAAGACAAAATAAAACATACATTGATAGCGACATACTCGTTTCAATACACGTGCATATTTTGAAGCTGCAACGTGTACATGTATAAGTTTGCATTACTTGAAAATGGAGACTTTGGCGCTTTAGTCAGATAAAAAAAGAACTTTAAAGGTCAAATAATGAATTAATCATGGCGCCATTTATGCACTTATAGCTACTTCATTTTTCAAATAAATATTGCACTGAAACCTTCCATGTACCAGAGGCCGACATCTATTAAAGTTCAATTGGTGTCACGGGATGGCTTGAGGAACCTGAAGTCCTTACTTCACATAATAACATTATTTTTATTTCGAAGCATTATAAAGTCCAATACGTTAACGCTGGCTTGAGGCTAATATGCTTATAAATGCAAAAAGGAGCGTTTATATAGGGTCATTTTTTCAGTTCTTACACATCGAAAAACAAGAGTTTGTAGACACTCCGAATCGTAAGAAGGAAAAGGACCGTCGTCAAAATGTCGTTCCTTTTCTATGATTACGTGCATCACTTTAATGATTTAGCTAATTTGCTTTTATGGTTTCCGTAAAAATTTGTGGATATCAGATGTCATTCATAAACAGAAAAGTACAATCTGTACATTATCATTTCCGTGAACATACGATACAACCACACCAAATGAGAAAGGCAGACGACCAACTCTTAATTACGGAATATATGTACGTCATACCAACGGTTTAAAATTTTGGTGATGGGGGAATATTCGGCTGCACAAGTTTCATAGAAGAGCTTTGATGTAGGATGACAGCTGACGCAGTTGTTGGTATTTAAATGTTTGCGTCACAAACGAATTAAATGGTGCATGACCTCTTTCGGGTTTTGAGGTGGAATTGAAATCTACCTATATGTCCTGGGTGAATGTGTGACCTATATTGCATCACAGAAGTATACGCAGCATCTGCTTTCACACACAAGAAGTATTTTCCCTGCATTGAAAATTATTAAGCCTGAGACCATACTATTTTCAGATTCTAAATTTAAGGGATTGGAATATGTACAAAATCTAAAAACGTGACAAGGTTGTCAGCAACTACACATGTAGGCTTGAATTGATTCAAGGGTTCCCGAGTTATTGCTAAGACACCATTTTCAATATGTCATTGACCTGTGACCTTGATATTTTAGGTATGAATCTTGAAACCTAAAGGTCATGAATAATAACAAATATGTACTCAAATTTTAGAGTTATAGACCAATATATATATATACCGGGTATGTAAGACAAAATACAACTATATCTAGCTAGGAAACGAAATAAAACGTACATGTATTAATCCTCTAAGATCATTGATTTCTATTATAGCTACGTATATAATAGTTATCTTGGCACACACTTTAAATTAATTTCCAGAGAAGCGTTGTTTAGTAGGTAGTGTTTTGTGTGGATAACCAATAACTGTTCCGTGACAAAATACTGATTCAGAAGTAAATATGGTTTTAATTATTTTCAATATCATGGTAAACAAGATTAAGGGAACTTGTGATGTATGACTGCTATATGCCTTACTTCTTGAAGCCCATACATACCTTAAAAAGTATAATCTACTTAGCATCTTTCAAGGAAATGCTATTAATAATTTAAACTTGTATGACTGCTATATGTTTTGCTGCTTGAAGCCCATACATACCTTAAAATTATAATCTACTTAACTTCTTTCTAGGAAATGTTTTAACTTGAAAGTACATGTAGTCTGCTATTTTTTTGGTAACATTCATAATAATGTTTATGCGTCCTCTTTCCAGCAAAAATTAAATGAACAGTAAGCTAGAAAACTAAAATTCAACACATGTATGTATTGAAATTGTTGTTTATTAAAGGTTGATAGATTTCAAGCTTGTATATACATGTAATACAAACGCCAAAACTTGACAAGCAAAACACCGGTTGAGACCAAGTAAAAATTATATGCATTAACAAAGTGTACAAGTCTAAACTTACAAACATGTATCTTACAAGTTTGGTAACTATAACCAATTGCAAACACAATAAGTGGTATTATAATACATCAAAATTACAATATTCCAAAATATTTTTGTATGAAAACAGACTTGACTAGAAAAATAACTTTAAGTGGCAAAAGGTGAGGTCCAAAGGCTCCAAGAGTTGAGAAGATTTGCAAAATCTTTGAAACTACCCCACCATTCATCATAATGTATATATGAGGACAAGTCCTGTATTTGTCACTAGTCCCACCCACAGTCCCCTCCTCCTCTCCTCTTACTGAAGCTGTAAAGTTTCCCCAAAAATTAAATAAAATGACCTTGCAGTATTGTAATCCAAAGGCCTGATTCAAAATGTCTATTTCCATATTCTTCCAAGTTGCAGAACAATAAATTAAAAATCCTTTCAAATGCCTTCAGAAACATTGAGATTTATTCGAGCTTTATTAAAAAATATTTTTAATTTATCAATACATATTACATGTTTACATAATATACGATTTCGAATACTACCTGGATTTACTATTATATTTTACTTATTTACGCATTCTCATGACAACTTGAACTTGTGACCTCCACAAAAAAGTGCAAAAAATGGTTCTTGGCAAGTTTATAATTAACTCCTTCAGTGAAAACATTGCAAATATAATTTTTTATATTGACAATAAATAAAACATAACTGCAATCAGCTTCCAATTAATACATTTATCAGGCCATTGGAAATCATCGCACCTGTAGCTGCTAAACATTTAAAGGTACACCGGTATCAGAGCTTATGGATGGTTAACAAAAATCAATATCCCATCCTACACATATGTATAGCAGATATCTTATTGTGGAGTTGAAATGGGTTAAGTCCATTTTCTGATTTTCATTATAACAGCTATGTTGTAAGATTGAGCACCGTCAATGGACTTTATATGTCAGGAATTCTTTGGAAAAATAGTAATCATTATAGAATAGCATCAAAAGGATTTACTTTATCAAAGCTTAGATGGATACAAATCGAGACTGACTGATCAGTCAATTCTACATTTCAACAGGTGTTAACTGAACATCGAGCAGGAATTGATGAATATTAAACATCGAGCAGGAATTGATGAATATTAAAAAAAAATCATGAAGACTTGTGTCCACATGTTTGCTTTTAAACTCACTTTTCTTTTGCTTGACTTCGTCTTGCCACTGATGCTAGCGGCAGCTAAACTTAACAGGAACTGTGCCAGTGATTGCACCTGTGAGAAGATAGATGGTATCGTCAAAAATATCCTAGTTATGGAGTGTAGAAAAAAAGACACGATTTCTGAGATTCCTCGAATAGATCCAGATTTAATGTCCAATATCACGGAGCTGTAAGTAGAAGTTATTCTATATACAGACAGAAGCATATGAACAAATATTAGCGATCCACCACTTGTAAATGATAAAAGGGGTACTTTCTGATCTAGACGATATGTTTACAATCATGAAATGTGTTTCTGCTCTGCGCAAAGCATGATACGTTATATTCAGTCCGTTTTAAACATAGCTGAATCTACATGTGTACGATTTGGCTCGTAAGTGATTAATGGTATTTAAATTTTTTGGTACATTTAAGAATTGTTTAATATGCATTAATTTTTAATAATTAAAGCAAATTTCTAAAGGATTCATAATCAAGTATAGCTGATTTATACAATTATGAAGATAACCTGTCAATCTAAATTTTAAATTTCGTTTAGCTGATAACCAAGAGAATGATCAGCCAAAGAAAAATTACACATCTGTCTACTTCCTTGAAATTATTCAATAATAAACACTTGGTCGTTGCCTGGTCGATACTATGGGTCCTATGGGACGGCTTCTTGCTTTAACTGATAGAACTATGAAAAGACTATAAACGTAGAGGGATAACTAGATTTTTCATCTTTCACAAGATTGTGGCCATTTTATCGACAAATAAGCTTTTGCTTTGATCTCCTCTTTGTGTTAGGTACAAATATTCTAAATTCTTGTAATTCCGATACATAAGCTATGCTTTGCTTTGAATCTTCAACAGTCCTTACAAATGATATAATTTTATATAAATAATAATAATATATGTATGGTAATTCAGCGTGTACTATTACCCCCCCCCCCCCCCCCCCACACACACACACACTCCTGGCTTTGTTACGGATCAACAAAATTCGCTTATTTTCAATACAGGTAAAACAGCCTGATTTACAAATTCTTTTGGATACCAACAATACTCTCGATCGTTTTGAGCTTTAGAACAGTACGTTGAACTGATGATGCTTGAAATTTTCAATCTATACATTAGATTACTTAAGATACCAGACATACAATGTATTAGATGTCTGACGATTCCAAATGTCTCCTTTATTTTTTGGTCTACTTAATTAAGTTTCGCTGATTTCTGACTTCCGAATCTGTTGGCGCAAGTAACGGCCTTCAAAGTCGTACAATACTGAAGTTGAAGAAATCAAGTCTTATTTAAATTCTTTTTGATATTTTATAAGATAATTTAAAAGAAAAACTAGCTATTAAACCTGACGATTGATGAATGGCAGTGACATTAATTAGATAAAAATTTGTGTTCGATCGTTCGTCTCTGTAATATTCTTGCTGCCCTATGCATTGTCTCGAATTATTAAGTCCAGATTTATAGAGATGTCAGTATTTGGCCCATTTTTGATATAAATCACACTTGGAACCAAATGCCTTAGGAACCATTGAATTTTCATTTATCTTTGAAAATGTCAAGTGTCTCGGAATACAGTAAAGCAATTCGGAAGCACCTAAAATTAAAAACAAAACTTATACCGCAGTAATTCTTCTCTTTTTAACACAATTTTATCTGCATATAGGGACTTCTTCCACTAACTTAATATTACACTTGAATTAGTGAGTCGAACAACTTTACTTTATATAATTATGCCAGTGTATAATCTTTTTAAAATTGTAAGAAATCAATAGGGTTGTACTTTACACATTTTTAGTAAATATTTTTTTTTTACTTTGCATGTCCTCGAGTGGATATACAGGTGAATACTAAAATTAGACCATGACAATAGTTGGTCTGTCCTAAAATCGGTATATTCCTCCCCCAATTAACAGAATGAGGCACAACATTTTCATTTCATCTTTCTTTCCGATAAATGATGATTTTCAGTAAATTATCGAGATTATTATGTCTTATACGTAGATATCCTACAGGATTAATGAAAACAAAACAATTGTACAACCAGTAACCCTTAATCAAACACTACTGGCCAGTGGCATTAAGGTGTGAGACACCGTCTGGCATTACAATGAAACAAGATGTGTAAAGTTTGTTTAACATAAAATCCCTCCGAACATATCCAAGTTGTGAAGTAAACAATAGTTTCTGGCGCTACAATTTATGTGATAATATCCCTAACAAAAAATACTGCTATAGATAATTATAGTTTACTATAATAGTTAACTATAGTTTACTATAGTATCAGATTTTTTTTACTTTAGTAAATCAAAGTTTTTATTAAAGTTAATAATGTTTTTACTATAGTAAATCAAAGTTTTTATTAAAGTTAATAATGTTTTTTCTGTAGTAAATCAAAGTATTTTTACTAAGGATTTCAGATTGTTATTATATTTTATCTTCTCCAATTCAAACATGAATAGTTTTATATCAAATGGAACTATTACATCTTGCAAATTCAAATATTATTTTGGAATTTGACATCACTTTTATCGAATTTCAGAGATTTTAAGCTTTGAAATTTCAAAAAAGTTCCAGAGTAAAGTTTCATAGTAAATCAAAGTATCAAAGTTTTTACTATTATAGTTAACTATAGTTTATTTTTGTTAGGGATGAAAGTTTAGTGAACATGCAGAGAGGTTGTTATATACAATGATTAAACATGTGTATCATATCATATCGAAAAACAATCGCATCTTCTTGGGTCTTTCCGATAAGCTCGCAAAACTCCCCACCTCGAATGTATTTACTATAAATAACCAGATTTGAAAAAAAAAAATTATATATATATTTTACGGATGGCAATCAATTACAGAATTGCTAATCGGTTAACCGCAAGACGTTCCGACCGATTAACCGGTTAATCGTACATTATATCAAAATACACATTTTCTTGACCTTTTTTTCAAGTAGCTCTATTCATAGTAAGATGTTAGAAACAATCTGTTTATCTTGATCAGGAAACTACATGTACATGTATTTTATTTCAATTTCAATAGGTAAGAAAAAAAAAAATAAGAAAACCATGAAACATGCCTGAGAAATCAGACGTTGATAGCAGATGTTACACATTCTGCATTGTCGCTATGAACAATACTAAGTCTGAACTTTCACTTAATATACAATGTTTGTCTAATAATATAATTTGATAGATAACTGCAAAAGATAGATAATGATTCACAGTGCTCAACGGCGATTTATTTAACATCAGAATTACAGGACAGTCGGGGTAACCACATGTTGTTTATACAGTAATTAACACTTCACAAACTGACCAATTACCCCGCGATCTCAATCAGGAAAACAATAATTATCTCCAAATCAGCTTAAATACATACATGTATGTAAAAACTCTAAATTATCAAATTAATGTTTATGTAGAAGTTTCATTTTTAAAAATGAATTGTAAGAAAATTTCTTTCAAATTTACATATATTTTATTTTTTCCGACTAACCGATTACAGATTTTCTAACCGATTACCATCGTTCCGACCGAGTAATCGGTTAACCGGTTGCAAATTACCACCCCTAATATATTTTCCTATGTTTATTAAAGTATTGGAAAAACAGAGCTGCTTGCCCCTTCTGTATGATTCGTAGTATATTTAAGGCAGTATCTTTACATTGAATGAGGTTAAGCTCCAGACTCCACAGCTAAGAGGTCTTCCTTCATTTATTTCAGTGTTTAAGAAAAGGGGTTGTCATGTACGCCTACGTAACACGTTACATTCTAGGGAGTTTGTTTTCCCTTTCGTCATTGAGTCAAATGCTGACTGACGTTTTTCATACCAATTGTTAGGCCATTATTTACACACTGAATTGTCGACTGATTTTTCCGTTATTTCCCGATCATGACAAGGAGCACACGGCGGGTGTGACCGGTCGGCAGAAGATGCTCACTCCTCCATGGCACCTGATCCAACCTCTGATGTTTTGGAGGTCCGTGTTTGCTCTGCACCTATTTTGTGTAATGTTTAATGGACTTTTGAGCTTGAATACTGTTCGTTATCTCTATATTTCATCGACGCTTCAAAAATATTGTGCTCAGTAATTACTAGTTTTCACAGAGATTTGGTCTTTGAATGTTTATAAAGACCATGTAGTTCTGGTCTGCACTTTGCATTTCGCTATGTGTAACACTTGATATAGTTAATTCATTTCCCATCGTACGTCAATTTATCTTTCAGATTTCAGTCATCCATATCGGTGAAAACTATGCCGTTGTATTTAAATACATCAAAAGATCATTTATGTGATTTAACACCGACGGAAATGGTTTAACGTTAGGTGGAAGTGTATTTAATTCTTTGAAAATTCCGTCAATGAGATAAAGTGTATTACACCGCATAATTTTTTTCTTTCAATAATGAGACATGTATTTATTCTCGCATGCATTAATGTAATTGAACTGTTGCGATGTGCTTCAAAAGTGCATTCCGTCTTAAAAAGGTTTGTTTTGTGATCAGACGGATATAAATTGACCTATTAATAGTTCGTGCACTTAATTATTTAGCTAGTAAACACGGCGAATATTTTTTTTTCTAGAATGATGCTTTAATAATGAACTTCAATATATATATATGTAGATGTGAAGCTTATCTTGAAACAAGTAAATTCGAATCCTTTTTTTCTTAAACTAGAGAGGTACGAAGAATGAGCTCAAAAATATCCATCTACTGATTTTTTTTTTAAATTGATGTGGTAGATGCAGGATACTTTTTTTAAAATAAAAAGCGGATAGCCATTTTGAGTGGCGCGTTATTTTTCTGTCATTGCCCTCGTCCAAATGACCTTGGGTCAGGATTATGATTCATCCCCCGGTTAGAAGCATAACTTGGAAACGTTTATCACTGCTTATATGTATAATTCCAGGAAGATATCTTTACTCTTCAGGGAATGTAATTCGAAAAACGTTCAATTTCTCAACGCTTTTATATTTAAACCATGCTGTACTTAAGACTTTAATGTATAGTCGCTGCTAAATACAATATTAAACACGTTTAGATGGAAGTCTTAATTTCCTAAACACAGTTTTTTTTTAATTACTACTGAAGGTTAATGTCTTGTGGATTCACTAAATAACGAGTTAAGACCCAAAAAAAAAGTCTTATATGTCTGGCAACTTTTTAT